TGCTTTGTTTAATTAAGAATCGTCGCTTCGTCGATTCATTCGTACGTATAAATGTTTATGAATCGATGATTTTTTCTCGTCGATCGTTGTGCGAATACACTGCAGAAGTTTGCAATAAAAATAATCGCAACAACGGAAGATTTGATCGTTAATAACGCTAACATTATTTAGAACTCACTTTGAAAAAATTCACTTCACTCGTTTGTCGTATGAGTGTCTTGTTGATCTGATTGCAGTTCACCTTCCATTCTTGCTTGCCGTTCTGCTGCTGCTCTCGCTTGCCGCCCGGCACTGGAACGAAGATTCTTTCGTTCTGGAGGGGGTTCTATACTTGGTCGCTTTCCACTTCGTGCTTTCTTCCCCTTAGTACCTTTGTTATCTTCTTCTGTTTCCGACGCAAGTTTCGACGCATCGTTTTTGGTAGTATTGTTGGTAGTGTTCTGTTGCGAGGTTGTTGCATCTTCTGTTGTTATCGACGTTGTAGATGTAGGTGTAACCATGGATGTAGGTGTGAGTATAGGTGTAGGTGTAGGTGTAGGTGTAGGTGTAGGTGTAGGTGTAGGTGTAGGCGTCGATGTAGGCGTCGATGTAGGCGTAGATGTAGGCGTAGATGTAGGCGTTGGTGTACGTGGTGTGGGTGTGGACGTAGGCATAGCGGTAGATGCAACTGGAACCGTAACTGCAGTCGAAACGCTTGTTGTCACCGCGGTAGCCGTCTCGTCAACTTCTTTTTTGTTACCAGTGCTCAAAGATGTTTCACTGAATGTGTTCTCTTCTGCGGAACTTGGTTGTTTGATCGTTGTGCTTGATGGTCGCGTACTTCCATGTTCTACTTCGACTGTTGTTACATCCGCCGAAGTTGCCGTAGTCGTCGCAGCAATCGGCCGTGTACCAACTTCAATTTCGATTCTTGGCTTCTTGTTGACAGGCTCGAGAGTTACTTCGAGCATGCTTGAAGTTTGTTGCTCTGAACTCTGATTGTGCTCTGCGTTGCGATTTCTTTTCTCGCTCGGTCGTTGGTCTTCTAGATTTCTTGTTAAAAGTTCTGCGCTAGTTCTGCTTAAATGTTCCAGCGCTTCTTTCATCTCTTGTTCTTTATTTTTCCTTTCTATTCGTCTTTCGGAAAGATCTGCCACGTCGTTCTGTTCCAAGATCTCCCGTTTTTCTGGTTCTGTTTTTCGTCTTTCTTCATTGTGCAACGTCATATCCGTGTACTGCTGCAATGTTATCGCAGGGTCGATAGAATACCTAGATTTCTTCTCTGTATCCTTTCGTTTACTCGTTGATTCGGTAATTGTATCGCGTTGCCTCGAGTTACTTGCTGAAGACGCAGGTTTACGCACTGCCGAGGCACTCGAAGTGGATGGATTTAAAAGCCCACATTGGGCGAGACTTTCGTAGGCCGATGATACTCCACCAGGTTGCATTGAGAATGGATTTAATCCACCCAAACCCAACGGTGTGTACAAAAGACTGGGGTTTGGGAAAAAGAAGGGGAATGGCGTCGTTGTTGATATCGTGGAAGATGCTGATGAAGTTGAAGGCACCGTAGATTTACTCGTAGGAGGCTCCAATTTACCGCGAGATGATTTACTAGCACTGCTAATATTACTCGAACCTGTATTCTTGCTACTGACAGAGCTGACAACAGGATTGGTTTCGGCTGCTGTGCTGGTTGCTGTTGCGCCTAAAGCAGCTTCCATACCAGCTAACGATGGTAAACCAAGACCGGCAAGATTTGCGAATAAGGAATTCGTTAAACTCATGTTACTTAGGTTACTCAGATTTCCCAGTCCGCTCAATGCACCCAGATTGGGTAAACCGCCAAACGGCATTAGAAGAGGATTGTTTTTTGGATCGAAATTTCCAAGAGAAAGGCCGGATAAAAGAGAGTTGTTTAAATTACCCAGCGAAGGGAAGTTTAAACCCGAAGCCATCGACGTAGCTGCCAGATTAGCTTGATTCGTAGACTGTTGACTGGTAGGACTTGGCATCATAGGAGGTCTTCCTGGGCTTTTACCCTTGTTAACGTAACTTCTGTCATTTCCTGACAATCTTTTTTGTAAATCGTGTGGAAGGTTTCCGCGCTCTTTAACCAGTTCTGCCCATTTTGGATCAACGTCGAACATTGGATTCTCGATCAACCATTGACCTAATCGTTTTAATTGTGGCGCTTTACTGCCTGTAACCTGAAATAGATGTACGTACGTTACGTTACGTTACATATATATATATATATATATATATATA